GGTCTGACTAAATTTAATGTGGTGTATGAGCGCAAGTGTGAATGCAAGAGTGTAGCTGGAAGGGTATGAACTTGTTTATGCTTAAATGGAAACATGCGAATAGTAAATAAGAAAAAAAAATTATGCTTATGATAATAAAATCAGTAAAAAAAAAACCAGAACAACACAGATAAAACTACAAGTATATATTTATTTAATGTATATATTTTATATAAGTATCGTAAACACAATTTTAGGTTTTAAGTTTATCGTGCATAATTGAACAACACTCCCACTCTTTCAGACAGGTCATTTCCTATAGGTTGGCTCAAGCGTTTAAGCTCCTGTGTGGCAGTGCAATGACTCAAATTCAATTTACCTTCTAATTGCCCCAACTACCAGCCCAACCCCCCTCCATCTACGCCGCATTACGCTTGGCGTTACCAGACTGTTTAATGAACGCACCTTCTCCCCTGGGGCATGCGTGCGTATGTTTGTGCGTGTGCTTCTCAGAGGCGGTATTCAGAGGTGAGGGGGTCATACAAATGGTTTGTGTTTCTTGCGACGTGGGGCTTGTCTTTGACAGGCCACTCACTCGTGCATGCCAAATGTATGCACATGCTGACTGATAATCTCAGCTGCGTGGTGTGGAAACCACACTTTGCAACTTTAAACGCAGATCTGAGGCCAGGTGTTCAGTGTGCGGCGTAGACACATTGGTGTAACGAGCTTTCATCGTAGACGGAGACAGACAGCGGGAGGGGGAAAGCGCAGGAAGGAGGATGGACAGGGAGAAAGACGAGGAAAACACGAGAGGGAGAGAGAACAGAATCCGCGTGTCGGAAAAAGAAACGCCCGCGGATCGCATTGTCTGGCGTGCTGAAATTACCGGCTCTGCCTCTCTCAAAAACATCCCAGCGGGAAACCGCTCTCAGCCTGGAAGAGAGAGAAAGACGCAGTGAAAAAGTGGAGGAAGAAAGCACTTCCTTTAGCCCAAAGAACATTTTTAAAAGAGCATTTGCGTGACTTCATTAGTTTGTCGCGCAACGAAGGGGAACGTTCTGCATTTGTTTATGGGATAAACAAGAGAGAGAGAGAGACCTTTCCAAATGTTTAGCGTGCACGGACACGGAATCTCAATTAGCAAGAGCGTCTCTCGCGCTCAACGAGACGCCAGGCCCTCTGCACGTGCCGAATCGATCAATTAATTAGCCGGCGGTGTGCGGATACGCCGGAGGTCTTCAATCAAACACACACACACACACACACACACAAAAAAAACTGGTAAAGCAGCAAACCAGCAATCTCTCTCTCTCACTGCTGTCCGTACAGCACAAGGGCCCCCTGGACGGCATATTATTCATCCGACAGACAAGAGCGAGCGCAAGAGAGAGAGAGAGAGTGCGCAATAAAAGCACGTCCTCGCAGGCGCACGCTGACTCAGGAGCTGCATATATCAAAATAAGAGGGAAAAAGCGGAATTATCCGGTGTGCTGCGGAGAACGTGGAAGGAATACAAATACCACACACACACACACACACACACACACGCACACACATGCTCAATCTTCGTTCTCCGCACACGCTGCTTTTCCGTCGGAAGCCTGTTTCTCTCTGTGGTGGTTTGAGCGCAGAACGGTTTCCTCTTTAGAAACAGACTGTGGGCAATTTCCTGCACTGATTAGTCAGATTACATGCATTAGACGAGTGAAGTATTTAAATCGCAATAAAATAACAGGAAAAAGAGGCTTGAGACTCAGGGAGATCACCACACACTGTCTCTCGCTCGCTCCGCCGAGGTCTCGCCGCTCTCTGTGATGCGATACACACACACACACACACACACTCACACACGAGCGGTGGAAAATTAATTCAGGCACTGAAGGGAAGCGCTGTCTGTGAATACTAATGCCAGCGTGCTGAAAGACCCCGGCAGCGCTGCGCTCGCACACATAAAACTTGAGAGATGCTCTATGCGTTGAATTGTGGGTGTATGTGTGGGTTAGGCAGGTAAAGCGTGTGTAAAAGTTTGTGTGTTTTAGAGAGGCGAAGTGTCTACATGTGCTAGATTTATGGATAAATGGGTGTGTGAGGGGGTTCATATTACACAAAATGTGTGTGCGTACTGTAGAAAGGTGTGCGTCTGCTTAACTGCTCTTTAATATCCCCCGTCTCGTGCTCCCTAACGAGCCTCTAACGATCCGCGCGTCATTATGGCTCCGCTCTTCCGTTCCCGTTAATGTTTACTGGCCGCACACACACATAAGTGCGTGCGCTGCACGGCTCATCTGCATGCTAAAGGTCACGCGGCTGCTGCAGTAATTGGCCTCTGTCGCTCGGAGCGACGGCGACGGAACAAACGAATGTCAGATATTCAAGCCGCGCGCCAGAGTCGGCCATCTTACTGCTGTTTGTTTTCGCCGTTGTCGGGTCGTTAGTTTGGCGTGCAAGTAAACACACCGGAGGAAGCATGGAGAGAGAGGATGGTGACGCAACTTGAACTTAAAATAATTCATATCTTAACTTCATGAAACAACATTTGGCATCTGCACGGTGGTGGGTTGTAATGCTTGACGTTATTCCATGATAATTACATCGCATGCAGAGTTGCCTGTACACACTTCTACTAGAAATCAAATGTGAGAAATATTCAGGTAACATTAAGCTAGTATAAGGTTACACACAAAGTATTGGTAATCATACCATAGGGTCATAATAAACAATATCAGATATTACCTTAAAGGCCTTTAAAGGCCGTGTCAAATATCATTAATCATAAATTTACGGTGGCCGATATAGCTTAACATTCTGCAATTACAAAACTAATATCAAATTAAGACAAGATTTTTATCAGTTTGAAAGCACAGGTGCAGCAAATTTTCACAACTTATGCAAATAAAAAATGCGCTGCATTTTCTCACAACACTTTCAAATAGCACGAAATACAATGGAAATGTTTCCAGGAGACCCAACAAATTTGATGTACACCACTGTGCCATGACTATTGCTGGATAAAGTTGTAGGTAAGGTAAGGTAAGGTAAGGTCTAGCTGGGTCCGTCATGTTTTAGGGTGCCCTTGAAACATTTCCTTTGTGTTCTGTGGTATTTGAAAGCGGTGTAAGAATTTGCAGGCGATTTTGGAAATTGTTTTCTTTATGAAAAAATGCAGTGCGTTTTATTAGTTTGTTTGCATTGTGAGAAAATGCAGAGTATTTTATTAATTTGTGTTGTGAGAAAATGCAGGCATTTTCATAATTTGTTTGCGTTGTGAGAAAATGCAGTGCATTTTCGTAAATTGTTTTCATCATGAGAAAATGCAGCACTTTTTATTAATTTGTTTTCATTGTGAGAAAATGCAGTGTATTCATAAATTGTTTGAGTTGTGAGAAAATGCAGTGTATTTAATTAATTTGTTTGCGCTGTGAGAAAATGCAGTGTTTTCGTAAATTGTTTGCGTTGTGAGAAAATACAGTGTATTTAATTAATTTGTTTGAGCTGTGAGAAAATGCAGTGTTTTCGTAAATTGTTTGCATTGTGAGAAAATGCAGTGTGTTTTGTTAATTTGTTTGTGTTGTAAGAAAATGCAGGCGTTTTCGTAAATTGTATGTGTTGTAAGAAAATGCAGCGCATTTCGTAATTTATTTGTGTTTTAATAAAATGCAGGCGTTTTCGTAAATTGTATGTGTTGTAAGAAAATGCAGTGCATTTCGTAATTTGTTTGTGTTGTAATAAAATGCAGGCGTTTTCGTAAATTGTATGTGTTGTAAGAAAATGCAGTGCATTTCGTAATTTGTTTGTGTTGTATTAAAATGCAGGCGTTTTCGTAAATTGTATGTGTTGTGAGAAAATACAGTGCATTTTTGTAATTTGTTTGTGTTGTGAGAAAATGCATTGTTTTCGTAAATTGTGTTGTAAGAAAATGCAGATGTTTTCTTAATTTGTTTGCGTTGTGAGAAAATGCATTGCGTTTTTGTAATTTGTTTGCGTTGAGCAAAAATGCAGTGCGTTTTCGTAATTTGTTTGCGTTGTGAGAAAATCCAGCACAGTTTCGTAAGTTGTTTGCGTTATGAGAAAATGTAGCATGCTTTTGTCATTTGTTTGCATTGTGAAAAATTGCAGTACATTTTAATGAATTGTTTGAGTTGTGGGAAAATGCAGCATGTTGTTTAAAACTGTGCATGCATTGTGAGGATTTGCAGCATTGTGCTGTCAAACAGATGAAGATATTTTCTCTTTTTGCTGCTGATTTCTGTAATTGCATGTGTTTTCTTAAACTGCAGCATGTTAAGCCATTTCGGCCACTGTAAAAAATTAAATCCCATCGTACGTCTAATACTATGTGTGTGTATGAGCACACATTGGTTTCGACCAGCGGAGGTGTATGTACAGTAACTAACACACTCTTATCTACAGAGAGGCCACAATTTTCCCAGTAAATCTTAATTATTGAGATTCGGTTACCAGGTCTCCTACACATCTTCCATGAAGCATTCGAAACTGCCAAAAAGGCCTGCAGCAACCCGAGTGGAGAATCTTAAACTCCCATTATGAATATGCAGACCGTACTCTGATTTTAAATGAAACTCGATCTGTCATTTTAATCTAAAGAGATTTTTTTTTAGTTTAGGTAACATGTATGAAATAACAACCGCAGCAAATTATCCACAGTAATTATCTTCAGATTGAGCATGGAATGTAAATGATGTATTTTTTTGAATAACTAAAACAATAAAATACCAATGCAGTGCTCAACAACATCTATACACCAGCCCTTGAAATGCCACACAAATCCTGCAAAATGAAAACCAGCTCATATTCTTCAAAATCCTCCACATTTTACCCCTTGGACTGGAGGAATTGAGAAGATGATCCCATGATGATTGAGATCAGGAGACATTACTCATCCTTACTCATGAGCCGCATGAGTTAAAGCTTTCCGACAAGCGGCATGACCTCATATAGAAGGTAAAATTATAAACTTTGACAGCGTTTAATCAGGTCCAGTGAGAAGCTGTCTTTACCTAAGTCTGTGGTCGAATCCAGGCAGTGAATGACCTCGCGGAGTTCCTTGGAGCTTGACTTTCTGTCTTCTTTGTCGATACCGAGAAGGATCTTGATGGTGTCAGGGGTTGAGTTGATGAAAACACGTTCTCAGGCGTCCACGCTTACAGAATGACACTGCCAAGGCTTTCTTGTGACCGATAGCTGCTGGGTTCTACATCACTGGACCTGCCTATATGGCACAAACTCCTCCTGCAGGATGATAAAATATGTTTTTTACGTGATTCATCTAGCACAAACTTGACTTAAAATGAGAGTGCAAACCAATTAATGCAAAATATAACAATACAAACAGTAAGGTGCATTTCCATTATATCAAATCTGAGGTAATATGTTTGTAAAGGCTGAGGAAAAATGCCAAGTAGAATCTGAGGTCAAGCCTGAGGTGTATTTTAAATATATGTGGTAAACTCTAAGCTGAAAATGTACGATAAACTCAGTCAGGAGTAAAATATGAAGTAACTCTTTTAACAAGTTCAGTCTGAAATACTGTTTTGAGTGGGATGCAGCGTGTGTGTGTGTGTGTGTGTGTGTGTGTGTGTGTGTGTGTTTGTGTGTCTGATCCAAAAGACATGCGTGTCTTAATTCAGTGACTGCTGTAAGACGTTGTCTGGCTATATGTCAGTGTCAATCTTCTAAAAATATTTTCATTCCTTGTTATGGAATAAATGGGCTGCATTGTGGCTCAGTGGTTAGCAAAGTTGCCTCACAGCAAGAAGGTTGCTTTCTCAAGTCCTGGCTGAGGCTTTTTTAAGTAGATTTGGTAAATTTTCTGCGCATGAAAAAATAGGACAGTATAAAAAATGTATTATTTACTATCCTATTTGCTCAACTAATAAAAGAAAAATCCAATGAAGACTTTCAGAAAAAAAGAAAAACTGTAAGAATGATAATTGCAGCCAGAAGAGAGAACAATGTCAAATTTACTGTCCTGCCCATAGACGCTGCATTAGAAACATCTAGCATAAGTAGTAGCTAGTTTTTTTTTTTTTTTTTTTGTGATTTAATGGATCAGAATCTGACCTGTTGGTCCAAAACCCTTGAAAACCACTGATCTACATTATTCATTTAGCACACGAAGTCTAACAAATAAGAATAACGCTAACTGATTACCACCAAAATTAAAAAGCAATCTGTTTTCATTTAAAAAGACACAAAAATTCCATAAAGGTAACATTTTTGTAAAGGTAGAAGGTAAAACTTCATGTTTTAAGGTATAATCTGAAGTTGCAACAGAGGTGTAGACCTATTTGAAACATCTGTGGTGAACTCCAGAGTAAAATCTGATGTGAATTCTGTAGTAAACTCAGTCAGAATAAAATATAAGGTAACCTCTTGAGGTAAACTCCATTAAATTATGAAGTAAACCGAAGTCTCTGTTAAACATCCCTGTGATGTACTCTAGAGTAAAAATATGAAGTCTTGGAAATCTCAGTCAACGATTTTTATTTGCATGTATTTATTTATCTTTGACTGCGTTAAATTACTGATGACTATTTTACGTTTTGTCAGTTTAGTGCAGGGTTTAGTGCAGGGTTGCCCAAACTATTTTCTTAAGAAAAAATTGATTGAGGCTAGTGGGCCATGTAAATGGGTAAATTGGTAATTTATTTATTAATATTTAAAAATGACTACTTTATATTGACTAATACTTATTTATATGTTATAAAAACAAAACATTTTAATGATTTTATTTGCTCACAGTAGTCCTCAACCTATTAAATGATAGAATTTACATTTTAAATTTATTCAAATTTATTTACAACATTTAATTGAAACATTTCATTTCAGTTTGCTTTTTTGGAGCTCAGCAATAAAACAAACTACATCAAATTAGAAATGATGACTTCCTTCATGTCGTCTTAAAATTGTTCGCCCCAAACCTCTCTATCATTCTCACTCTCTTCTTAGATGAAATGTTGGGCCAAATCAAAGGTTACAATAGGCTAACTTTGGCCAGCGAGCCCCAGTTTGAACATTTCTGGTTTAGTGGCTAATTCATACGAGTTCCTACGAAAACGTATATTGTTTTTTTCAAGGGGGCGTGGCACCAAACCCCATCCCTAAACCAAATCTTCCAACACTCGTTTTTTCCCCAGAGTCTCCTGTATTTCAGACACATCTCCCGCCACCCTCCCATTTTGTTATTTCCCCGGAAAGCTCCAGTAATTCCACACCCCTCCCCAGTCCACAGCTCTTAGGTACAGTCTGTAACACCCCGGCTTGCCAACTTTGGTAGTCAGTGTTTCCAGATTGGGCGATTTTAAATTTAATTGTGCTGGTAAAAAATGGCATTGGTGGGTTAACAAAATTTGGGCGGTTTTGAAACTTAAATTTTATAAGCAACTTATTTAACAAAACATAACTATGTGCTCCGTTCATTTAGTAGGGACCAGTGTATAGCACAAACCATGTGGGCCCACCTGCAAGAGGAGGTCAAGGAAAGTTGTATTAAAATACAGGGTCCCGGACAAATCTAACTCCCCTTCGCGTGCACGCGCATCACGCAGCATTCATCATGATACTTTATCAAACTCGCAGCAGTTTATCATGACACTTTTATCGATAATTTTTTTTCTGCAATTGACAGCAAGAACAAACATAGAAGCATTGTCTGATTGACAAGCAGCAGCTAATTATGAGCAAACTAATTTAAAAAGCCAAAAGGGGCAAATTTATACCCCATTTCGAAGTGCAATCTACACAACATTAAGTGCAGTGTGTGGGTGACAGGGTGCAGCGTTTCGAATTGATCCGGTTATGTTGTGGTTCAGTGACTGCTGGTGTTCCTTACTCTGTGGTTAAAATGATGACAGTTAAAGTAACTAGGCTAATTATATAAAATATTAATCTAATATTTTGGGCGTTTTTGTGCATTTGGGCAAGTTTTGGACAGCTTTTGTGCTGGAAAAAGTCAGCTATATCTAGCAACACAGGATATAGTATCCGATCACTAGGGCCCCTATAATTTAGTACAGTTGCTAATACCACAAACAGCACCAGGTTACTTGTTATTGCTCTACGATCAGTCTTGCCAACTATCTCCAATAAAAAGTAGTTAAACCCTGCCTGAAAAGTAGCTAAATGTTGCCAGATGATATCACACACTAATTTGCATATCAGTGATGTCATCACGTAGTATCTGACAAGGCCATTATGTCTCTACTGTCTGAGGTGCCATGTTCTATATTACATTAAAACATTACATCCAGATGCACAAAGAATAGGTTTTTATTAACATATTACTTTGCGTGATTATGTCATTGCGTAATCAAAACTTAAAACTACATCTTTATGTAGTATACAAAATAATTAATGTTTTCTCAAATTGACTGGCATCCTCAGCAAAAACATTATTTGAAATATGTCCAATTAGATTTAAATGAAAAAAATTGTTGACTATTTGTAAAATACAAACACTTTTTGATAAGAATTTTTTTTATTTTTAAATATAATATTGATAACGAACAGTTACATTCTTTCCCAGAGATGGGTTGCGGGTGGAAGGGCATCCGCTGCGTAAAAACTTGCTGGATAAGTTGGCGGTTCGTTCCGCTGTGGCGACCCCGGATTAATAAAAGGACTAAGCCAACAAAAAAATGAATGAATGAATGAACAGTTACATTCTTTTAAACTTGTGTACTTTTTTAAACTTGTGAAATTACCACAATTGTGAAAGTGTCAACAATTATAGCACTATTGGATTTTATTGCTACCTAAATTACCAATAATTATAAATGTTAACAAATGTCAGTAAATTGACATTTATAAAAAACAGTTATGAAAAACCATCTGAGCTAGCACTACTGAGTCAAGCCTGCAGCCACTGCTCTTTTAAGTCACTTTTTAAAATTGCTAAAAGTAGTCAAATGAATATTAAAAAATTGCTAAATTTGTTGTAAGGTGCTTTTTTAAAAAAAATGCTGGGGTAGTCTGAAAAGTTGCTAAATCTAGCAACAAAATTGCTAAGTGGGCAACACTAGCTGCGTCCCAAATCGCATACTTATGCGCTATTCTACACCAGTTTGTAGTATAAATAGTTTAAGTAGTGTGTTCACACTGAAAACTCTAAAAGAATAAGTGGACTTTAATTACCCAGATGATGCATTTTTTCGACTGGTAAAATGTAGTCTGGAATGATGGACACTTCACGCACTCAACAGCCACAGGTTTTGCACATGGCGGAAGGGGCGGAGCGATCATGTTGGACAATTTTATTTATTTTGGATGGTGAAAGCAAAATTCTGCTACGAGAGTGATTTTAACGCCTCCTGGTGTTAAATGTGGTTATAATCATGGAAGGTATTATTTGATTTGATTTAGTCATTTATTTCACTGATTTGGCAACCGTCAAATGCCATCAAGAAAACGGTTTGAATTTCCGCTTAGTAAAAAAAACTGCTCCATTTGAGACGACACTTCATACATATAGGCTCTGCTGTTGAGTGTAAGTGTATAGTGTGCCATTTGAGACGCAGCTACTGTCTGAGATATCATTGATAGGAAGTGTTTTCCCAAGCTGATGAACACTAAATATAAGGGCAGCCAATCAGAACACATCCTGCTTAAAAGCGCGCGAACGACTCTAACGACAATCAGCGACCTTTGGTGTGAAGGTGAACGGGCCTTAAACGTCCGCTCGTTTGTTTCTTCCGCGGCTAAATTGATAACAGTAATTGGAAAACAACTTGTAATATTCTGACAACAATCTATTTTTGTGTATGTGTGCTATTTAAAAAGACACTGAGGAAGCGGGCCGCTGTTGCTCCGTCACTCGAGGGAATATGCTCATTTCCATCTGCAGGTGAGCTGTTCATAAACTCTCTCTTTCGTTGTCTCCTCCTCCTCCCAAAACCGTCCCACCTGTCCACGAGTTTCCTCTCCTCCGTCCGAGTCTCTTGTTCTCCTGTGTGACTGTTTCCACGGTCTTTTTTTTTCCCTCCGTTGCTCTCGCCTGACAGTCTCTCTCTCTCTCTCTCTCTCTCTCTCTCTCTCTTTCCTCTTCTTCCGCGCTCTACTTCCCTCTCCGGCTTGCGGCAGTCTTTCATTCCGCTAACTGCCTCTCTCTCTCCCTCTCTCTTGACTGATACCAGGCCGACAGGGTGAGTGTGACGTACATTGGCAGCGTTGAGCGTGACGTGCGCTGGCAGAATTTGCAGCCTGCCTCCCCGCTTATCAGAGCTGTCAATCACGGGCTGGTGACAGCGCCTGGCAGGCAGCGCCACAGGGAGCCCGACACGCAAATACACACACAAACGCTTGTTCCCAGCTGATCAACGCTCGCGCTTTCCCTACAGACAGAGAGAGACACGCGGAGATATACGCACTGCAATGTACATGAAAAACTCTCAGTATTTGCATAACGAGATGCGCTTTTTAATAAACACACACTGTAGGTTGATGTACGAGGATTGTCTTGGGCGAAAAAAAGAGTTTGTTGGGGGGAAAGCGGTAAAAAAAAAATGTAGCATAGATTATAATATATAGATAGAGGAATACTATATATATATATATATATATATATATATATATATATATATATATATATATATATATATATATATATATAAAGGTTTTATAGATTATATTTTAATAATTAACATTTATGTTACATTCATTTTCCTTTGGCTTTGTCGCTTTATTCTTTAAGGACCGCCACAGCGGAATGAACCGCCAAATTATTCAGCATATATTTTACACAACTGATGCCTTTCCAGCTGTAACCCAGTACTGGAAAGCATTCATGTGGATTTTTTTTATGAATATTGCAATATATACATAAAAAAATAACTTGGGTAAAGTGAAATTCTTTCATGTGGTAAACCTGTTTGGCTATTTTAGCAGATCCTTGAGTGTTACATTACTATTGGCAGTTTTATGATAAATAAGCTTATTGAAATTTGTCTGTTTATACTATAATACAGCTTAATCTCATGAAGAAATGTAATGATTTTATGTATGAGCAGAAAAGTGGCTAATTTGTGCCCCCAAACCCCACCATCATTGGGAGATGAGCAGATCGTACTAAGGCCCGATCCCAATTCTACCCCTCAGCCCTTCCCTTCACCCCTCGTTTTGCACGTTCACATGAAGGGGTACGGGTGTCTCAGTTCTCTTTAGCTTGAAGGCGTAGGGCTAAGGAGAAGGGCTAGACCCCTTGAAATGGAGGTTTTTCAGGACCACATTTGAAACCAAGGGGCAGAATTCAACAGCCACAACAGCAGCATGGCTGCACATGGAAGTAAGGAGATGCACAAATTAGTATTGTCTCAAATTTTTACAACAAAAAAGCACATGTTTTAATATACTCATAACCGCCTTTATGTTTTACCGTCTTGATTTTTTTAATCTTCGCTATATAAAATCTCTAATAATAAGTCCTGCATAGTATTCCTACAACATTCTGTCATTTGATGACAATCAAATATCCTTTCAGACAAGTCTGGGAATGAGCTTTTTACAGTGTCTGCTATAATGTTAATGTTGTTTTGTGTGTTTACATAGATGAATATGGCCACGGTGTAAACGCACAGTACAGTTACGATCTTATTGCCACATTATATTGTTAAATTTTGAAGCCCTTCCCCTTCACACTCTGTTTCAGCAAAATCTCAATATTTCAAGTTGCTAAATCTAAAAGTATTTTTTATTAAGTAATTGCCATGAGATTGTGTTCTAGTGTTATTTTCATTATTTTATAGTAAAAACGTTATACATTATACAAATAATTTCTTTTGGAAATTATCATTTAGCAAAAAAGTTTGAAATTTAAAAATAAAAACAGTACGTAATGACCCTCACTACTTTTTGTGTTATTGTAAATTTTCTAGAATATATATTAATTCTTATACAATATCTAACTAAGCTCAAGGTTCCATCATGCAACTTGAAATAATAAATAAATACGAAAACATGCATAAATCACAACCTACGTTTAATTAAATTGTCTTATTTGTTTGGACAAAATTATTTTTTTGCAGTTCTGTTTGTTGCCACTAGTTGGTATACTTCACATTGACGTCTGTGATAATTTTTGTTCATTTACAGCACATTTATCGAAATTAATATATGTGGTGGTGAAAAACAGAAGCAGCCGATAAAAAACAACTAGGAATATTCTTACTGTTGGGATGAGAATGTGTGGTTTTGTGAGGCAGTTTTGGTCTGGCTGGTGAGCACGAGTATAGGAAAACACACGGACATAAACACGTTTTTGTGCCGCTGCGTGCATGTTCTGCCAGAGAAAACTTGGAGTAAACAAAGGTACTTGAGCAAACAAATTTTCGAAAGTCTCGGCCTTTCCGCTTAAGCTGAAACACGCATTTATTTGAAAAGGTCTCCGGCGAGTCTTTCTGCTCTGCTTTAGCTAAATGGGTTTCAACAGACAACATACTTTGTTTTGACAGTTCTTCTGTCAAACTTTGGAATCGTTTAAGAAAACCAAAGAGTGAAAGCCCAGACCTGCCGTATCCTGAAAGAAAACCTTGTGTGTGTGTATATGTGGAGTTGAAACCATGTGCTTGCTTCAGTGACAGTGATCAAAAAGTTTCCTTTCCTGTATAAAGCAAATGTTTTTTCTATTAAATAAGCCACTTGAGTGATTTTACCATTCTTTAAGAGTACTGTAAATCACACTGACAGCTGACAGCAATTACTGGAAAACAGATCAACAAAATTAATAAATGATTATTAAGTGAATTATTATGAAATAAAACTATCGTCGTTTAATACAGAATTTAGGATACATAGCTAAACTGTGGATTAAACAGTATTTTCTAAGTCATGTTCATTTTCTAAATGTTCTTCTGAAGAAAAAGGTCACCTACCTTTTGAATAGCCAGAAGGTGAGTAAATTAACAGCATATTTTCAAACTATCTATTTAAATAAGCTTCATCCAATCAAATTGAATAGCCATAACTTTGTTTTGTAAATATAGAGTTTGATCTCAACAAGACGGGTCTTTCCATTATTCCTGGAGACAACGGGAAGGTCATTTCTGCTTCAGAGAGCTGCAAGACCCGACCACAACACTCCTTGAAGTTGGTTTGTATCAATCGATTGTCTAAAATGTCAATGTCTGCCAGCCTAAGATGACTCAAAGAGTTACATCTCAGCCTTGATTTCTCTCACTGTTGTGTAAAATTGGCTAGTAGGCAGATGTCTTTTGATACAGGAGGCACTAATGCATGCCGTCTGCTTCCAGGTGGATTCTGGGAAAGTGGACCACGGAAAGGAGCTTTTTTCATCTCGGTGTTAAAAGGGGGACTATACGGGAAGAAACTAAGATAAAGTAATTCTCAACAGCCTATCAAAATGCAACATTTGCAGGCAGGTTACTGTCGGTTACGTCATTGTTCGGCTTTAAAGTAGCTGGAAATGCAGTCTGGTACTGAGGCAATTTCTCAGCAGATCTGCTGCAAACTCCAGCATGTTTTAATGTTACCTCAGTTCCAGCGAGACCCAAAACAGACAAAAGTCAAGGTCAGAAACTGCCACGTTGTGTTTCTAAACTCCACAAAGACTTGTAAAACACGCCATCTCAGTCTTGACTTCCACCGCAAGACACCAAGACACATTTTTTCTCTCTAAATATTCCTGAAATCCCACTGAAAGCATGTGGAAAGTTCATCTGGAAAAGTCACACACTTCACACTTCTGCCGATTTTTTTATTTTATTTTGTCCCTCTGCAATTTTGCGCTGTCATTTTTTTTCATTCCTCTCACCTACTATCGTCTTTCAGACCTCATCAATCCTTCCTTTCCTTTCTCTCTGCTGGAAGCCTCCGTTGGTGAAACACGCGGATTCCATGAACAGCTTGATGAACAGCCTCAAAGGTTTTTTCCCCCAGCCGACGCTAGTGTTTCCCAGCCTTTCAGGAAACACACACACACACACAGCACACACACATAGTGGCGTTTCCTCTCCATGGCCCACAGTCGCCTACGCTCTGCCAGCAGACCTGCCGTGACCATGATGTCATTATTTCCCCCATAGCACGGCCGTATGCTTGAGCGTGTGGCTGTTTATCGGAAAATTCCTGTCTAGGGGCTTTCACGGAACGTCTGAGTTTACCACGGCCTCGACATGAGTGCATATGCGTGTAATCAGCATAGAAATCTCTGCTTTTCTTATTCTGCTGTTTGCAGGCAAACAAACTTACGATTTTTCTTACATTTCTGAGGCAGAGTTTCACAAATAAATAGATCGATTTTCGTTGTATCACCACACTACTGTATAGGGCTGCACGATAGTAATTAAAAACGGACACTGCGATATTTTGTTTTTTTGCAATACATAATGCGATATAAAAGCAATTTCACTAGATAGCTTAAACAACTCTCTCTTTTTTAGAAAGAAATCATTCATTTAGATTAATTGGGGTGATTGTGTAAGGGTATAAATGATGTATAAAAAATAATAAAATTACAAGCAAAATTATTACAATAGAGCATTGAAAAAAGGCAAATTAACAGTGTTTTGCAGAGACTCAAACAGTATTCAGGTACAGAAATTGTATAATCTTCATCATATTGTACAAATGGACTTTATGCCAAAATGCTTTAAACTTTCTTGAAATGCCTTTAAAACTAAGGATGCTCATAATAACCAATTAACCTTTAACCCTTGGGGTGCGTTTTTAACCAATTAATGGTATCAGTTATAGGATTAAAAAAATATATTATTTTTTTTTAATCCTATTATTTATACAAATCCAAAGATTTTCTGGATTTTTGTATAATGATAACTCTGTATATTGCGTTTAAATAAATAGATAAATCATGATTATAAAGTGCAATATTTCTTGTGTCAGACACAAAATAGACACATTAATGAAATAATAATTTAATTATCCAACTAAATAACCGTTAATATTTAACGAACAGTGGTTGTCGGTAGGCAAAATGCAACACATAAAACACATGCAATCGACTGTTTCACTGATATGGTTATACTTTGCAATGACTGCACAAATTTAATGTATTTCTAGCTGTGCTGATCAACTATAATCCCAACTTAACATTGCATCCGGCGATATGACTATTGCAGACACACACATTGCGATATCGATGCTGAAACAATATATTGTGCAGCACTGGTATTCAATATACATTGTTAACATGAATGTTTTATAAATAAAAAGAAAATTTAAAAAAAAAGCTCCGACTATGCCAAATATAGTTTATTTTGATGTA